TATTTTATCTTATTATTTATATGAATAGGAGTTATTCAGATTATATTGAGATAATAAATGAAGTAGAAAATATAGAACGGGTTGTTATAACTAATAATAGATTCAAAAATATGTTATTTTATTTTAGAATTAATTAAGTTTGTGATACAATATATCAAAAATAAAAATGTAAATATTAATATAAATGGGAAGAAAGAAAAAGATTAAGACTGAACCAGTTGTTTCTTCAACAGATGAAGATAGCGGAGAAATTGTTAAAGAAACAGCAGTAATTGAGGTTGCTTGTCCTATGTGCAAAAAGATGTTAGAACTTAAAAATGAGTTAGAAATACAAAAGAAAGGAAATTGTAAATGTTCATGTATTCCAACAAGTTTCAAAATAAGTAAAAACGATAAGAAAATGAATATTGATAAAACTAAAGACAGTATAAACTTAGAAACAGATGTTCATAATATTGCTATCAAATGGGGACGTCATGCATCACCATCCGATAATAGTGATAAGGAAACTCAGGAAACTATACGCGAAATGATGAAAAAATAATAGTTAAAATTATTTCTATTATTATTTATAATGCAAGATGTTATAAATAATATTATTAAATTCATTGATGTAAAAGAATTGAAATTAAATAATTTTATTGAAGAATATAACGAAAATGATATATTAATTAATTTTGTTAATGACTTTAGAAATAGTAAAATTGATTTTAACATGTTTTATAATTCTATTAATTATGCTGATTTATTTGAACAATCAGATTTAAAATTCTATTGTAAAAGAATATATTCATATACTTTAAGATTTATTGCTAATTATGATAATAAAAATGCTATTCAGTTTTATGAAATTACATTGAGAAAAATGAATAATATTTACAAAAATAGTAACATTAATGTTGTTAATGTGTTTGAATGTATTAAATGTTTAATAATTTATATTACAGATAATATTGAAAAGTTTCATAAATATTCAAAATTTAGAAAAACTATTATTTGTAATTTAATTGGTAAATTGAATAATAATTTAACGAGTTACACAATAACTAATTTTGAATTGACTTATAATGATATATGATTTTGTAAAATAAAAGTTTAGTTTTAAAAGTTTTATTTTATAATATATATATTTACATGGATGAAGGATTAGAAAAGATTGTTAAAAACTGAACAAGGTTTTAGAACAGAATAAGAATATTTTAGAAATCTTACAAGAAATGGAAAAGAAGAAACCATTAACAAACAGTTATCAAAGTACTTATTTATTTAAACAAACTTAATAACAAAGAAATTAAAGAACCGAAGGCTTCAACTATGACATTTTATCAAATTGACTATGACGAGGAAACGCAACTTTATTCATAAAGTTGCATTTACTCATTAGTGATATTTTAATGAGTATTTGAAGGGAAACCCAAAAACCCACGTTCAAAATGCTCGCTTGCTCTTGGTGGAATGCTTATTTGCTCATGGTTGCATGCTCATATGCTCATGGTGGTATGCTCATATGCTCATGGTGGTATGCTCATATGCTCATTATGGTATGCTCATATGTGCATGGTGGTATGCTCATATGCGCATGGTGGTATGCTCATATGCGCATGGGAGCATGCTAATTCTGGTGCTGTTTCAACTGAGACCGTGAGCACAAGCAAGCACAGCATCAGGCATTGGAAAAGGTGAGGCTTTCACGGCTCCATGTTGTTGGATGCACCGCCTTGCTTCTTACCAATGGCGATTAAAAAGTTTAATGTTCAAATACAGTGAGAGATATTAATATTATTTTTAAAATGATGTATGAAAGAAGAAAGATTTGTCAATTAAATTATTATCCTGAACTGAAATTATAATCATAATATAATAATAACATGTAAAATATTATATGTTATAATTATACTAAACTTATGGTTAGTTTCTTATTTTTTCTTAATGCCTTAAAAATGACTTAAAGAAATAGTGCCTTAATATAATAAGAGGAAAATGAACGGTGATAAAATCAATAATTATATCAATAAAAAATGCTATGATTGTTGTCACTTCAAAAAAGAAAATATGGAATTGTATAAATTGAATTTACCTAATGAATAGTGAATAATATTATTAATTATTCAATGGATGAAAAAGACGAATGTGAAAATTGTCAGGAATGGAGAGATAATCAATTTTTAATCAAATGTCTGTTGAGAATAAAAGGAAGACATAATAGAAATGTAGAAGATGAGATTTTAATATTTCTAACTGTAAATAAAATACCACCTTATGATTATGTTAAACAGTTTCTTAAAATCAGTAAGAAAAAATATGAAATGATTTATGATATATTATGGATGTTGGGCTATAGTCAAGAGAAAGGAGAAGATGTTAAAGAAAATATCAAATTATTTATTGAAAGTAAAAAGTTTAATATTCAAAATACATTGAGAGATATTAATATTATTTTTAAAATGATGTATGAAAGAAGAAAGATTTGTCAATTAAATTATTATCCTGTACTGAAATTATAATCATACTATAATAATAACATGTAAAATCTTATATGTTATAATTATACTGTACTTATAGTTTGTAAAGATTGAAATATTTTATTTTTCCTTGATTTGGCTGACTCTTTCAAAGTGCGTTGTTTGAACTTGGTATGCTCTTTTGTTTTTTTTTCGTGCTTTGGCTGTTTGTATTTTATTTTGTTTGATACTCTTCTGATATTTTTTGTTGGTATGTTGCTTTGTTTTTGTTGATGTGTGTTTTTGAGTTTGTGTTCTTTGATGGTTTTTATTTTTGCTGTTTTGTTGGTATGCTTGTTTGAATTATTTAATGTTTTATGCTTTGATTAAATATTTTGTTGGGGGCTGTTCTGGTTTTTGAGTTGCTTGGTGGTTCTTATCTTGTTTTCTGTGAATTTTGCTGATTTTGTTGTATGCTGTTTGATTTTTTGGTTTTATTCTTAGAAGTGCCATTTTATGTATTTTTTGGGGGGGCGGCAATTCCCTCCATGATGATTGAAAAAGTGATGATTCAATTTGGGGTTGGGGGGGGGCGGCGGGCAGCCCCCCCATGATGATCGAAAAAGTGATGATTCAATAGGGGCAAAAAGTCCAACAAATAGCGGGGGGGTTGGGGGGGGCGGCAGCCCCCCCCCATGATGATTGAAAAAGTGATGATTCAATTAGGGCAAAAAACAACAGCAGGGGGGTCATCAGTTCCTCTGCGGCAAGGCCTCATGGTACAAGTGAGGATTCAATTACGGGCAAACTAATCGGCACCCCCCCCAGGATGATCGAAAAAATAGGGGCAAAGAATCTAAAACGTAGCTGTCGCATGATGATCAAAAAAGTGATGATTCAAATAGGCGTGCATTTTAATCGAAGGGGGGTGGCGCGGGGCCCAGAGAGGAACTTGCGATGCTGAGGATGCAGGAAGCCAACTGGGAAAGCATCAGGATGCGAAAGCAAAAAAGCCAAAAAGCCAAAAAGCCACCTGCCGCAGCGGAACTGGCAATGCAGAGGATGCGAAAAGAGAGGAACTGTGAATGCAGATGATGCGAAATGAAAAGCCACGAAAGCCACAAAAACCCCGTAAAAGCCACAAAAGCAAAAAAGCCGAAAAGCCACCGACCCTGAAAAACAAAAATAATTCCTAACAAAAAACGAAAAAAATCCTAAAAAAAATGGCCCTCCTTTTTTGGTCCAAGTTTTACTCCCATTTTTTAGTCGTGGCCAAAGGCAATCAGCTTTTATTTTTGGATCCTTAAGGGGTCCTCTCCCGGCGCCGGGCTTCTTCCCAAATCGGGGTGTTTCCCAATCGCCATTGGTCAACTCGTATAGAGCCTTGGCTGCTCTTCGGTCGGATCTTTAAGCATTCCGTGTTTGTCCTATGCTTCTGGGCTTTCTACCTTCGGGGGATGCTAGGTCCCCAGCCAGATGCCCTTTATAACCCCTTTTTTGGGGAAGGGAGGGTTCCCCAACTAAACTAGATGATGGGAAAAGTTGGTACCCTTATTCTAACCTGTCTACTGGAGGACCTAGTCGTTGGTTCCGGCTAATGACGCTAAGAAACATCAAAAGAAGGCACCTGCTACTCACCTCCCGAGGTCCTGGACCGTACAACTTTTTGGGCAGACAGTTCTAGGGTAAACAACAGTTTTTTTGGCCAAACCACGCAGGGAGTGAGAATATCACTGTAGTGTCCCCTTTCGGATTTTGAGAAATTTCGGGTGAGTTGTCTATTGGGGATCCACCATATAGAGACGCCTCCGGTTGAGTGTGTTTGTCTTTTCCACCAACCAAATGTTCTAGGGGACACTTCCATTTCCATTCTTTCCAGGGATCCTTCTTTCCAGAAATCCATCAGAACCGCAGGGGAAACAACGATCGGTTTTTGAAAAGAACGATGGTGGACAAGAATGGACAAGGAATCAACCCCTAGAAATGTAGCTATCCTTCCGGTGCTCCGGGAAACCACATATGTCGTTCTCGGGATGAGCCGCCTCCCCCTGAACACCTTCAAACCACCCAATCGAATCGAACCACCTAGACAGGGAACAAAGGTACCTATGGTATGTGTTGCAATAGGTGGTGCGCGTGCAACACAAACAAAGAAGAAGTAACTAAAAACGGCGAAAAAGGTACTTAGGAGTTTACCCGGGCTCCCGAAAGGTGGTTGTTTTGAGTAGTGCCCTTATACCCTTTGTTAGGGGGAGGGTTCCGCTACTAAAATCGACTACGGAAAACAGAAACGGAACCAACTTATTCTAAGCTGTCAAATCTGGAGGGCCTAGACCATGGAGTTTTTGCTGCCCCAGAAAGCCGGTTGTGTTGACTATTGGGCAACGGATCTTTAGACTTTGATTTTTTTTTTGGAAAGAAAGTGGTGTTTTTTTTTTATGTACTAAACCCCCAAAAAGTGTTAGGTTGTTGTGTGTGTGTGTTTTTTTTTTTTTGCGGGGGGGCCTTCAGCAACAAGTGTTGAAGGCTTGCCCCTTTTGCCGTGCCGCGAGCCGCGAGGCGCCGCGGCCCGTGGTGGCGGACGCTCGCTTCGAGAACTTCGCTGTGGGCCTGGTGCAGAGCTGCGAGCCCGTGCCTGGGAAGGAGGGGAGGGATTTTTGGGAATTTGGTGATGGCGAATGTTTTCCATTGGCAAACACGGGTGATTTTTGCCCATTGGGGTCGATTCAAGTTGCGTTTTTCTTGCGCCGTGACGTTGGGTACCAACACCCCATTGGTAGGAAGGACTTGGGGTTCTTTTCAAAAACCGGTCGCTGTTTCCCCAGAGTTTTTATTATTATTATTATTATGATTTTTAGAATTTTTGGAATTTTGGCGATTTTGTCATGGGCGGAAGCTTCCATTTGCCGGAAAAATTCCCTGCGGGAAAAACAAGGCATGGGCAGAATATGGTTTATTGTCCATTTTGGGTTTCAAAGGGATTCTAGTACTTACTGGTAGTATTTGTGCGTGTTTTCCAGGGGGCGAAGAAGCAAATGGAAGGAATCGTGCGGAAGGAGGGGGGTTGATCAAGAAGTCTTTTAATGTTGACCCCGGATTCATAAAACCCAGATTTGTAACAGCCCAGATCTGTAGCACCCCAGATTTATTGTTTGTTTTTGATGGCCTAAGGTTGATGAAACACACGAGAAGCTGTTGAACAAAAGTCTGCACCAGGGATGGATTTTTGCCAACGCTTGCTGAAACACATATTTTGTTTTTTTCCATGTTTGGTTTCAAGGGGAATCTATTTCTGGCAATATGTTCTCATTTTGGGGGGCGAGACGGCAAATTGCAGGGGGGGAGGGGGTTGATCAAAAAGCCCAAAAAACATGGGTGACCATTTGGGGTGTCCCACCAAAAACGATTTGACGTTCACCACTAAATGGGAAGAGTTACCCATGGTCATTTTGGGGCCAGGAATGTTGATCACATGTGGAAGATGGGTTTGTTTCCCCTTTGTTTTGGTGGTTTTCGAGGAAGACCGGAGGAAAAACCCGTGTTTTTTGGTTTATTTCTTCTTCCTTTTTTTTGGCGGGGGGGCTTCGCTTATCGTGCTTCATCGGCTTTGGTGCCCTGTTTGCCATTTGTTCGCAGAAAAAACCTTGGTTTCCGCAGGCTGGCATTAAAAACAAACAAAAAAAACTTCTTTTTTTTGCCTGGGGGGTCCTACGTCTGGCGGCGAAGAAACCGACAGGACAAGCTGAAGAAGCTAGAAGTGGACGTGGGAGATGCGGAGCCGCTGAAGATAGTGACCAACGCATCCAACGTCAAGGACCAATGCCTTCCCCCAGATGGCCTTCCCCAACGCATCCAATGGACATCAGCGATTTGGCATCCCCAGAATTAGTTCCCCCTTTTTATTTTTTCCTTTTTTTGCTTTTTTGGGGATCCCTTTGTTCCCCACGAACCAGGCAAAACATGGGGTCCGATTTTTTCCAGCCAAGCAGCCTGGTTTCAGCCAGCTGTTGGACATACGGCCCTTCGGCTTCCCTTAAAAGCAGCCTGGAAAAAAAACAACACGCACCTTGCTTTGCTGGGCTGCTTTGAAGGGTCGAAGGGTCAGTTTGAATTTGGTGCGCCACGATGCAGACACTGTCAATGTAGTGGTTACGGTACTGGCGTCCGCTGGGTATGGGGACGGTTGACATGTTGAAAGGGCCAGCTGCGGGGCTGGCGACCTTCTTGCGTCTCACTGGCCCACAGCGAATCGACCATTGGGTGTGTCCTTTTATTAAAAAATCGATGGCCCTGGTAATTAGATTGCCCTCCCAGCAACTAACATGGAAGTGCAAAAAGGCCCTTTCCAAGAGGAACGTAGTCTTTCTACAGGGGTCTGTGCACTTCTATGTTAGCTGGTGGGAGAGTAGATGATTTTTTCACCGCCAGGTATACGCCAAGAACCGCCCTCATTGTTTTCAACCAAACCCCACCTGGAATCGACCAACACCCGGGCACTCGCCCCGAAGGCTCCTCCGCCGAATGCCCCGCGACCTTCGGTTGGAGGCGCTCGAACCGCAGGACGGGAGCCGCGTGGTGGTGGCGAAGGTGGGGGCCATCATCGAGGGCGAGCCTTTGAAGAAGGCCACGGTGGGCGGTTGCCCCTCCGAGGGCATGCTCTGCGCGCCTCGGAAAAAGCTCAAGCAAGGTGGAGGTCTGAAAAAAGGCGCGCCCAAAGACTTTTGGTGAGGTGGTGTCCCCCCCTTTTTGCGGTTTTCCAAGCGAACACCAACAAAAACCACTTGCTTTGTTGCAAAGCTCGGATGGAGAGTGAGGAGGTTGTATTTCTTGCTCAAAATGGGGGGGGCAATGGTTCGTCTTTTTTTTGTGAGTTGGTGCCCCCATTGTTTGCGGTGCTCGGGCAGAGGTGTGAGGTTGATGTCTCCAA